ATGAGCAACACTCCACTGGATCAGCCTCAAGAAGTAACACTGCTAATAATTAATAAAAATTACACCTGCTTGTAACTTCCTGTCTAAGATTTTTGCATTTTGGTGAAACTGATGGCTTGTTTTTGATTTCTAGCTCCCATAAGATATTTAAACTAAACGTGTTGTGACTACATGACACGCCATTTGACCTTTGTGTTGTGATTTCAAAATAAAATGCTCTGTCCTCAGGTTTGGTCGATACACAGTGGCAGCGCTGGAATCAAAGATTCAACAGCATGAGCGTGATGTGGAACACCTCAAACGAGCTCTGGAGCGCAGCGACCAGTACATCGATGAGCTGGAAGCTCAAGTCAGGAAATCTGAGAAGAAGCATCTTGAAGTCCAGGATACATTTGCAAGCAGCAACAGTGGGGCAGATGTTCTCAAACACGAGCAGAAATTCAACATGATGATGAGAAGTTTGAGTGACAATGAGAGGATGTCCATCTGCAGCAACCCAGAGGTCGAGTTTCGAACATTTTCTAGAAATCCCAGTTTGGTGTTCCAGCCATCTGTGGAAGACAAGAGTCCAAATGGAGAGCAGAAGAAGGAGGACTTGGAAAGCACCTCCTCTGATTTCCTTCCCACCACTCCATCTTCTGCTTTCCGATCCCTGACCCTGAGAAGTCCAGGCCTCCGCGGGAAGAAAGTTGCATTTAAACCTGTGCCTCATCTGAGAAAGCTTAACTTTGAGGAAAATCCAAGTCCATCACAGACAGCTTCAGCCTTGGGGAACAAATTCAGCAGCGTTGAGAAATCTCCCAAAGGCTTGAGTGACATGGACCCCTCAAAGTCTATCTTCTGGGGCTCCTGGCATCCAGGTCCAAGTGAAGACAACTCAGTGAAGGAATCTACATCTGCTAATGCTATAAGGGAAGACCCTAACAGCTTCCAGACATCTAGTGAGGCCTCCATGGATGCAGCTTACCTGGACAAAATATCAGAGCTGGACTCCATGATGCTCGATGGAGAAAGTTCCAGTAGCAGAGGATCACAGCTCTCCTTGACTTCCTCTCCTCCAGGAGACTTGAATGGCACCCTCACCCCAGAATCTCAAATCTGCCCAGATTCCTCGTCCGGCTCTGGTGGTAAACCTGCAGTCCAAGGTGAGGACGTACAACAGGATCTGGGTAGCAACATGGACGACACTTTGATTTCCAAAGAGGCTCCAAGTGGATCTGAGGATAATTTTTCTGTTGAGGGTGGTCCTTGTAGGTTTGGTTCCACTGAGCACAGAGAGCCCTCTCAAACTGATGAGCTGTCTTTTGATTTGCTGTTTGATCATCTGGATCAGGTCGAGGCTGTCCCCTCTGGCTCCCTCAGTCCAGAGGCCCAACTCCAAGATCAGGATCACGTAACTTCCTCTTCCTCTGGCTGCACTGGTAGTAAGCCTGTAAACACAAGAGACAGACACGCTCTGAACAGCAGCCAGCCAGTAAAGAGGAAGTCTCACAGCCCCTTTAACTCCAGCAGTCCCACCAAACTGTCCAAGCTCATGTGAAGGTTTCATACAACCCCCGTGATCTTAGATTAGATTCTAGCTATATGTTGTTGGGAAATAAACGAATAACAGTGATGTTATAGGGTGTAACCCATTGTCACGTGTCTTCTGTAGTGTTATATGGAACAAGCTAGGAAAACAGTTAGATAGCTTTTAAAATGCACTTGCAACATCTCAGCTCATTCACCGTCGGGCCTCTCGCTCTTTTTTTACCTGCCTGCTTGTCTGTAATTTCCTTTTATTTAGCAATTAGGACACTGAAGATTACTGCTGGATTATGACTATCATGTGCTGTATTATAATGCATTACCCATGGAAAATTTTGTTAAGAAATAAAGAAATAAAGCAATGCAACCTCCCTGACGCCCCCTGGAGGCCACTGCTGTGGCCCCCCAGACTCTGGAGCTCCTGAGCCTGAGATCAGTGGACTCAGTGGTCTCCTTTAAAAAGCAGCTGAAGCTCACTAGGTCAGCCTGGCTTTTGCATGACCTTTGCCACTACCCTCTCCTTCTTCCTTTCTCATTCCGCCTTTCCCACGATCCATTGATTTCCCTCTTTCCTATAAATTTTCTGTCTCCCTTTACTTACATTTATTTGTTCTTTTCTCCTTTTAAACATATTTTTAATCATTTTAAAAAATCTTTTTATACTTAAATTTTTTGTTTTTGTAAAGCATCTCATGATTTTTTATCTTGAGAGGTACTATATCAATCAATCAATCAAAGCTTTATTTATAAAGCGCCTTCCGCAACCCTGTCAGGAAGCCCAAAGCGCTGAACATTGTACAGTTGTATGTAAATATATTGAATAAATCAACAATAAAAGAAATTCAGATTACAAAACACAAATTACAAAATACATAATGGAAATTACAAGATAGATGAAACATTCTGGTAAAGGACAAAAGTGTGAAACACATTTGGATTGAGTGTACCAATGAAAACTGGAATGGATTCAACATAATAGAGGGCCATAATCAAACATGTTCTGGAAACGCCAAGCGGAGGAGGTGTGTTTTTAGGTGATTCTTAAAGACTGGCAGAGAAGGGGACAGCCTAACTGAGGGTGGCAACTGGTTCCAGAGTGACGGTGCTAGGACTGAGAAAGCCCGGTCCCCACGGGTACGACACCTAGACCGAGGGACAGCGAGCAGGCCTTGGTCAGAGGAGCGCAGAGCACGTGATGGGGAATATTTGTTCAGGAGAGTGGCCAGATAGGGGGGAGCACCACTCTGGAAGAAATGATAAACAAAGACGAGGATTTTGAATTGTGAGCGATAGCAAATCGGAAGCCAGTGCAGAGAGGCCAGAACCGGACTGATGTGGTCCCGTTTCCTGGTCCCAGTCAGGAACCTGGCAGCGCTGTTCTGCACAACCTGTAGGCGATGCAGTGTTGACTGACACAACCCTGCATATAGAGAGTCGCAGTAGTCAAGCCTAGAAATTACAAAGGCATGCAGTACCCGCTCCAGGTGGGCTCTCGACAGCATATGCTTGATTTTTATATAAAAGATGGCATTTACCCCCCCCCCCACACACACACACACACACACACTCACAAAAAACGAAGACTTGAAGAAATGAAGATATTCTTTGGTGAACCATATCTATTATCCACATTTTCATGTAGAAAACAATGTTTAACAGTTTCTCAATGTTAACTGTGACAGTTATTAATTGGTTGGTATTAAAATAGAAATGACACTGCTTGTTAATTTGGACCAAAGCATGTCAGGAGCCATGTAATAGACCACACACACATTAAGTTAGTGCATTATTTATTATGCAAATGAAAGGATATTGTGTATATTTCACATACCTCTAATTGCTGCATGAAATTTTAATTGGATAACCATTGTGGTTAAAATTAATGATGTGTTAATTCATTGAGATAAATTTAGGTGAAGACTTCACAATGATCAGTGATGTATTAAATCAATTTGTGTAGCTCTCATTTGGCAATGATGGACTTTAATGATCAGGTGGAGGACCCACCGCTGCCTCCTCCTCTTTGTCTAATTTAACAGGCAGTAAAGCTGGCAAGCTTTAAAATATGCAGTGAAATATTGGTCAATAGGTCAGGTAATATAAATATTTGTAAGTTGTCCGCATTACATAAAATCCTTTCTATTTCCCCTTCTGGTCAGTGGTCTAAATAAAGAACTGAGTCCAAAAGGGACTGTCACAGACTCCCGTGGAAAGGCTCCTTTAAAAACATCTACCCTCCAGATGTTCTTTCCTTGCCCTGTGAGCGTTTTTTTCTTATCTGTCAACCAGTTCACTGTTCTGGCAGTTTGTGTCTCGCGAGAGCAGCCGAGCACGGTCTTGTTGACGAGATCTGAGGCGCTCAGGTGTAAGAGCCTCTCTCATCCCCAGCAGTGGGAAACAGTAGACAGATAAGTGCGTCTGAGAGACTGCAGGCATCTCTGTGATCTCCGGGCACGAGGCTGCTGCACTCGGTGCACTACAGAGCGAACCGCACGCGTCATTACCGGATAAGCAAAGAAGTCTCCGCGTGTCTGTGACCGTTTCCCAGCAGTTTCCCCTCTTTTTTTTCTTCCTCTTGTGCACTTTAACTGGAGAAGCTCGCCAAGATGATGTCCATGAACAGCAAACAGCCGCACTTCGCCATGCATCCCTCCTTACCCGAGCACAAGTACACCTCTCTGCATTCCAGCTCGGAAGCTATAAGGAGAGCCTGTCTACAAACTCCACAGGTAAAAACGATTCCCCGAAAACTATATTTGTCACTTTTTCTCGCCTCTGCTGCTTGTAGGGTAGGGACGAGCGCTTCTCTGCGCGCAATAACAAGGGATGCTTCAAGGCATATTCCGCCAAGACTCGCGTAATGTTTGTTTCATGTCTTCCACAGCAATCATTCGGAGAGCCTGTGATCTTTTTGAAAGCACGCTGCACGCAAAGACCAGCGTTGGTGTTTTTGTATTAATTTGTATGACTTGCCGCCTCTGATGGAACGATCAGCTGTTATGAGTCGCTTAAAGTACAGAATTCAACTCGTTTCGTTTCCCCTCTTTCATCTCTGTGTATTTTCTCCCCAATTTCTCACCAAATGTGTAAATCCACTCACTCTTCCCTCCTCTTTCTTTTATTTTCACTTTTGCAGTTACAGAGCAACATTTTCGCAAGTCTGGACGAGACCCTGCTGGCCCGCGCAGAGGCTTTGGCTGCCGTGGACATCGCCGTGTCCCAGGGCAAGACGCACCCGTTCAAGCCCGACGCCACCTACCACACGATGAGCACGGTGCCGTGCTCGTCGACCTCCACGGTTCCACTGGCACACCATCATCACCACCATCACCACCACCACCACCAGAACCTGGAGCCTCCGGACATCATGGACCACATCAGCTCCCAGTCTCTCACCCTGATGCCCAGTGCGCACGACGGGACAGGCGGTGGAGGTGGTGGAGGAGGTGGAGGTGGCGGCGGAGGGCTCATTTCCACCTCCTCTGCCCACGCGCACTCTCACATGCACGGCTTAAGTCACCTGTCCCACCAGGCAATGAGCATGAACTCGTCACTCACCCACCACGGGCTCTTACCGGGCCATCACGGGGGGAGTCAAGGCGGCCCAGGGCTCACAAATCCCGGACTTCCATCCATCAATGACTCGGACACAGACCCAAGGGAGCTGGAGGCTTTCGCGGAGCGCTTCAAGCAGCGGAGGATCAAGCTGGGGGTGACCCAGGCGGACGTGGGAAGCGCTCTGGCTAATCTCAAAATCCCCGGCGTGGGATCACTGAGCCAAAGTACAATTTGTCGATTTGAGTCCTTAACTCTCTCCCACAACAACATGATTGCGCTTAAACCCATCCTCCAGGCCTGGCTGGAGGAGGCCGAGGGGGCCCAGAGGGAGAAAATGAGCAAACCTGACATTTTCAACGGAGGGGAAAAGAAACGCAAGAGGACCTCGATTGCGGCCCCAGAGAAAAGATCGTTGGAAGCTTACTTCGCCGTTCAGCCGCGACCGTCGTCCGAGAAAATAGCGGCTATAGCGGAAAAGTTGGACCTGAAAAAAAACGTGGTGCGAGTGTGGTTTTGTAACCAAAGACAGAAGCAGAAGAGGTTGAAATTTTCAGCAGCTCACTGATGGAAAAAGAAAGGAAAAGAAACGAGGGAGAAAAATAAAAGTTGGGTGACTGAATTTGGGGACCAAGGGACTCTAATAAGACACCGTTTCAGTCTTTTGTCTCCAGCGACTTTACACGCTGGTGCACAGTGACACCCATTTATGAGGCTTCATACATCTTTATTTTCACGTTATTGGTGAATGTGAAGTATGCAAATAACAGATTCCACAAGTTTCGCTCAGTTGTTGCGAGGGAAAAGTTTAGTGACGTCAACATTGCCTTTTAAAATACGCGGAAAGAGGTAATTTGATACAATAACGCGTTATTTTCTCCAAATAGGCCTATTATTTGAAGTATAGCCATTTACGAATTACCTCATTGATTGTTGAAATGTGATTTTGGTTTGACTTTTTTGTCACTGTTCGTATAGAGTTATTCATGAATCTGCTAATTTATTAATGTGTTCATTTAATCTTATTTTGGAAGCTGCTATGGACTCAAATTTAGTTGCAAACTTTTATGGCTATCGGGAAAAATAAATTAGGCCTGCATGGTTTCCTAATTATGATTAAGCCTCTCCCAGGCTGTCAAATACAGATATATTTATTTTGAATTTGCACAAAAAAAGACCCTTTTATGAGTTTGTCATGTCGCAATGGTTTGTATATACAGACATCACTTTATCACAAATAAGAGCTCCTAAACTTGAAGGGTCTTTTGACACCATTGGCGTCACAGGAAAACGTTTAAAACAGACCAGAGCACGAGTACCTTGTTCTTCAAGGATAGATCACAATGATTATAAAAAAGATCGACATTTTCTCTTATGTGTTTCAGTTTGCAGTGCAAACACTCTATGCATTTAAAAAGACTAACTGCGTACAGTAGTGCTGTCAGCTGACAGACCTGATTTTGTGGATGGTGTAAGTCACTGTTAATGCCTGTTTTCACATTAAGATCACCTCGTTGTTTGTCGTGTTAATTGTTACGGAATCGTTGTGTGAGTAAAATTTTACTTTGTGCACAAGTATGTTTACAAAACAGCTGCGACATGTGCATCATGGAAAATGTCCCAATGTCTCCTTCCCTCATTCACAACATCTCCACCCTCCTCTGTTGTCCTCTTCTACTCTCATTGGTACTCTTCATCTTGTAAGCCAAAACCCAACGGGGAGGTGTGTTCCAGCAATCTTCTAATAAACCAGAGAAAGAAAAAAGAGGTTTTTTTTTTGGTTGTGACAAGCTACACCCTCAACAAATATTCTCTTTGACTTTATTATTGGTGGGATAAATAATTACACATGCAAGCGGATAATAATTTACATGTGGAGCTAGAGGATGTGCTTGGAATAATTAATTTTTCTGTTTATTCCTTCTTTTTCTTGGCAAATTTATTATATTTTTGTTATTTTGCGATCTGAAGTAAATTTGAACTAAATGAAAAAATAAGACTGAGGTGTGAATATGCCTTAGTGAGAGGCATATTAAATGTGAGACTGTCAAACATTTGTTATTTGGCCTTTGATTAATTTGTATACAGAGAAAATATTGAAGAAAATAGCACCAATAATAATAATAATAATAATAATAATAATAATAATAATAATAATAATAATAATAGTAGTAGTAATAATAATAATAATAATAATAATAATAATAATAATAATAATAATAGTAATAACGTTTTTTATCGAAATTTACATAAATTATAAATACAAATGCTTAAATGCATCTTAGTAATACGATTAATGTGATGTATTAATCCGCCCAGATTTACTTGAGTTGGAACATATATAATAATCCCTTACTTTCACCACATTTGCTGCTAAAATAGATCTTAGAAGATTCACTTCAATGAAAAATGAGAAACTAAAACCAAAATAAATCAGACAACACACACACACACACACACACACACACACACACACACACACACACACACACACACACACACACACACACACACACACACACACACACACACACACACACACACACACACACACACACACACACACACACACACACACACACACACCATAGAGTAATAATATCTAATGTTATTTGTTTTAAATAACTCACGTCTTCCCTCCTTCAGATATTAATGTCAGGATGCTTCTAACCAGCAGATATTTTTTAAATCTTTTTTTTCAGTTCCCCTTGTATTTGGGCATATGAATTACTGCGAATTTTTACAAGCACTCGATGCAATATTAATCACGCTTTGCTGATATAAAATGCAATACTTTCGGTCAGCTTTCGGGGCGTTTAGAGGATGCAGGCGAGTGGAGGAGGTCGGTGTTCAACAGCACAGAAATCTCCTCCATATTGCTTTCTTTAGCTTTTGGCTACATGGACAGAAGAGTGAGCGTTTTCTCATCGTAAGTAGATTTTTACCTCAGTTTGATTGTCGATTGTACATTATGTGTGTATATATATTTATCTTTTAACTTATAAAAGTGATATACCTTTATAAGCGATATTTTTATTTAACATAGTTTTACGTTTTGCATGTAGATGGTAATGCCACACTATGTTTTAATGTTTGATCAACAACAACAACAACAACAACAACAACAATAATAATAATAATAATAATAATAATATAATAAAATTAGTGTTCAAATTGTTTTTACTTTCTGATAAAGACTGTTTTTAATGACATTTTACTTAGATATTTTACCAAATGTTTAATTTTGCTGAGTTTTTGTACTGAGCTGGCAGGTTAAACAGCAGATAAAATCCAACCATACGTACTTTTTCTTCTAAGTTTTCTCTTACACTAACACACCTCCAGTAACCTTCACTGCTGGTGCTGAACACACTCCACAAGCAGCACTGCACGCGCCACATGGCACGTCATTTCAGCACCACGGACAGCTCCGCTGGCGGATTGAAGAGTAATGCATTATTGAAAGCCTATATCAAACAGCTCTAGGGTGCTGTCTCTCTGCACAGGGGCTCTGGATGAAGTCGGACTGTCTGCCTGCACAATAGCCTCTAATATGTTAATGGCCGTAGGGGATGCCGGAGGTACCGTCCCCAGCTGCCTCGCCTACCATATGTCAGCCCGTTACGACCGAGCCCTCTATTAATCAGAGGGGGATATTTCATCGGTACCTTCACCGATATCATAACCCTTAAAGCTCCATCAATAGCGGGACTGCGCCGCCACCTGATCGCAGGTGTTGCCGGGGCCTGAAAGGGCCTTCCTTCTTATGCATGTCAGGATGTCCCCCCCCCCCCCCCCCCCCCCCCACACACACACACACACACACTACCTGCCCACCCTGTTTCCATGATGAACATTACGCGCGTCCTTTTTAAATTACTGAATCGAACTAATTTGTGAAAATAATAATAATAATAATAATAATAATAGTAATAATATTAATAATAATTATGTAAGACTTATGGTGATACGCAATGACAGCATCAATCACCACTCCTCCGTCCACCTTTGTATCCATGCATAGGCCATGATGGATTAATCGTGGAGCCTTCCAAAGCATCCCATAACTTAATTCCTTGAGGCTACCAGTCGGGGGAGTAATTAATCTATTCCGCGGATGTAAATAAAAGGAAATTGGATTCCTGACAGACGAAATGAGAGAGTCTCTGACACCACCTCAGCAATAATGATTTCACCACGTTATGGTTACGCAGGCGCTTAGATTTACGAGCGTACGACTTTTTGCTATAGCTCTGAGCGGAAGCGGGTGAGCCTATCCTAATCGCAGCTGTTAGGCACCCATGTTAAGATGGATTGGCTCATTATAATTACAACACGCCTGCGTATTAAAGAATAAAATGTCCTCACATTCTTTATCATTTCTGATTCCCCTTTGATCACATTCTACATTCAGGTTGACGCTATCTCGTGTCTTATAATAATAATATCAAAACAAATACAAAAATAATAGCGTCTGGAAGGCTCCGTTGAGATAACAGGCACAGGGAGGTTGGCCTTTGGACGGAAATGTCACACCCGGGATGCGGATGGGTAGATCCCTCAGATCTGCACTCATTTCCCACTTATATTTGCTCAGTAATCCGCTGTGGCAGCTCTCCATCGCCGGGGACCCGGTTTGAGAGGCAATGCTGTTGACACAGGGGTATATTTCAATCACAGAGGGTTCAGAGTCAGACGCACATCTTATTTGTCTAATAAATCCGTCATTTAGTAAGAAAAATATTTGATCTTGAAGGGCTGACCTCTTGTCATGTAGCGACTGACGGATGAAAATATGGATATGGGTCCTTCAAGGATATTGCAGGAAGTCTGCATCATAAAAAGGACCAGATTCATATTTATATAAGGGTGGGATTCATTTTAAAATCAATGCAGCAAAGGTTAAAGAGAACAATAAGAGTTGGTGCAACAATCACACTCAATATGCCACGAATTAGTTATTTAAGAGTGATCAGGCAGTCTGTCACATAAGACAGGTTCGGCTTAATCCTTTAATTATGTGGCATTAACAGGTTCACATTCAGCAGGCCTACACAGTACTTATATGAAAATAGCCTTCATCAAGACACAGGCCTAAAACCCCCAACAGTGAATTGTTTAAAATAAACTTTAAGTCCCCTTTGTAATTTTATTTAGAACTATAAACTCAACATACACCATGATTCTGACCTGATGTAACATTAAACGTATTTCCTACTTTTTCGTATAATGACACGCGGCTCCTGTTGTCATCCACTTAATGTCAGGTGATCCAAATTAGAACTTACCCTTTAAACTTATAAAAGCTCCTGAAAGTCACACAAACACATTTTAACTATATTAAAGAACGTGCGCTAAACCATATTTAGTGTTTTTTTTTAACTGGAGTAAAAGCACGTGACCAAACAACCCTAAAACCTTCATTATTTCCAGCTGCGTCAGACAACTCTCCACGTCTTTGCCTGTAACATCTGGGTCATCATCTCAGGACTGTTAAATTCTACTTTATTAGGTCTAGGGAAAAAACAAAACGCCATTAAACCTAAACGCCAAGTTGCGTGAACTCACCGCCTGACAACTAAACTGATAAAGTGCTCCACTAAAACATCAGAACGCTTGTCTATGTCTGCTCCGTCCCGGGATGTTTTACCTCCTTCTGAAATCACGTTCTGCCACCTAAATGTCACTTTATGCTAAATCTGCCTCACTTCCTAAATGTCATTTATTTCCCAGTCCCTGCCTTCAAAGAGCTGCCTCGGCCCCGGGCTGAGTGCTCTTTGAACCCATTCCCCTGTCGTCATTACCCGTGCAGCAGGCAGAAGGGCTCGCGACCGGAAACATGTGGATCAACAGATACCATATAAGGACTTTCAGCGTCGTCAAGTTTAGCAAAATAACCTTTCAGATAATTCGTTGGTCAAACCACAGGGAGTCGATTTCGTCTGTGTTCTTCATTATCTGGTTTTTTCCGTACTATTTTGAACAAATTCTGAAATGAAACCTATTTTGAGCCAGTAAAATAATTAAATTGATCTCAGAGGCTCGTTAGTTCTGAAAATTATAGTTTTTTGCTACACTAAAATAAAACAAATATTCTAAATGTTGTTTGATGTAATCTGTCTTGCTTTTTATTTCAATAAATGAACTCACTTCTCCTCTAAAGTCCATTTTCCCATGTTTGTTTCTACAGATGAGAGAAAACCTGCACCCCCTGTCCTATGATGACAACAACCTCCATGAAACAAATGCATACTGTTGCCTTAAGGTGGGGAGAGGGATTCTAAGAAGATATCTGTAAGGAAATAGCCCTCATTCAGAAGGTTCACCGCTGGGACGAACTAGATCAAATGAAAACAGATGAATGAACAGTTTCTACAAATGAAAAGAAAGAGTGAATGGATGAACCACCACCTGGGAATTGTTTTGGAACTCTTATGGTCGCTGACCTTGGTGCTGAAAAGCAAGCTACTCCTGGGATAGCCACCCACGCACGTTAAAAACATTAAAGTCCAATTAAAATATTGTTACATGCTTTCATGGATCCTTTGATGGTATTTCCTTCTTTTTTACTGCTGGTTCATCCGTACTCAGCTAGTTGCCCTTTCATTGAGAGCTTGTACATGGGGTGGGATTTTGGGCTAAGGTGAAGGCATCTTGCTTTTTAATCTATGGGGGAGGGGTGGGAAATTGTTGTGGGGTATTTTAAAAACGTCCCCCATTGGAAGATATTGAATATCTTCCTCTGTACACATGGACTTCAATAATGAGGAGAGTGTCGGCTACCATTTGCCCACCGCCACACCATCAAATATTCATCACTGTTGATTAAACAGCCGGCAGCTGTCGATCGTCCGGGTGTCAAATTTGTGTCCAGCCCAGAACACAAAGGACTGTCGCCCTGAAATGTTTAGAGAAACTGTTCTGAAGTTTTCACCAAGCAGCATCTAGAAGAAGGTGAGGGTCAGTGATGTGCTGAATATAACTCCCACTCTCAAAATATAACAGGACTTAAGTGGACATTTACGTTTAAATCCTTTGACCATCAGCCAGAATGACAGAAAGAGAAATGCACATGTGTGTGGGTCAGGGTGTGTGTGAGTGAGAGGTTACTGTGAGGCACCTTAAATATTTCATGAGTTGTTAGAGGATGGGGTAGAGATGGAGGACTGCCTGGGAAGGTTGGTTCAACTCTGCTGAACTGGAGCTTGGAAGCATGCAGGGGAACAAATGTTAATGCAGTCTCTCTCTCTCTCTCTCTCTCTCTCTCTCTCTCTCTCTCTCTCTCTCTCTCTCACACACACACACACACACACACACACACACACACACACACACACACACACACACACACACACACACACACACACACACACACACACACACACACACACACACACACACACACACACACACACACACACACACACACACACAAGCTCAGATCTCTTGAAACTGCAGCAGAAGTATAGCACTAATGGCTTTTTATAGGTTTCTCTTTCAAAGATGTAAAGCCTAGAAAAAAAGCCTTAAGTGTCATAATAAGTTCTAATTTCCCTCATAAAAATACAAAACAAACAATTACCAACAATAAACAAACAAAGGGCAAAAAGCAAATGGAAGCACACAAAGCAACGACATTATTGTTAACTTTTGCAGTAACAAATACTCCTGAAAACCTTAGATATTAAACATGAATATCTCAAAACAGTCATGATTTTTAAGTCATTCAAGTCATACTAATGTAAGTCTGATGACGTTGTTACAAATTTTTCTTTATAAATAAACATTTTACTGCAGTTAATCAGTTGTTTCTAGGTCTGCTGTAATAGTACAATACAAATATGAAAATACACACATTGTAAATGTCCCATATGATGTCACAGCCCAAGATAAAACCAACAACAACAAAAAATTGGATTTAGTTTGTAATGAAAACATGAAGAAACAAAGTACAAAACTGCTTTAGAAGGAAGATTGTTTTTGGCAATTTGCACTATATATGTATGCACTATACAGGGTGACATTTCTATTAAAAAAAGAAAAAACCAAATAATTCAGTTATGATTCATTATTTAAGTCTGAATACCTGACTTAAACATCTAAATAAAATGTCACGAACTTCTTTTATACAGTTGCCTCTTACTATGAATGAAAAGCTGCTTGGCATGCTCGCACGGTTTGAGGAGGATGTCTGGGATCCAACATGAAGAGGAAGTGTCTACAAGAAGAGACAGAAAGAGAGCTCAGCTTTCTGGCCATTGATCGCCTTTCTTTGATCTTATTAGCATCTTGTTACGTAGACTGGAACATCATCCTGCAGATCCTCTTACTGGAATATTTGACTCATGACACAGCTGTGAGATCAGCCCCTCTACAAGTGTCAAGCAGCAAACACTAAATGAAGATGGCAAACCCTCCATTATTACCTCTCCCGTAAAAATCAGAGACATGAAAACGAAAGAAGAAATCCTGTTTTGGACATCTAAGAGAACGTGTAAATAAGCTCTTGTGACTACCATTCCTGGCTACACAACAGATGTTGCTGCAGCTTTCATCATATCTGACGCTACATTGTGTAATAATCAGGATCACACCCAGGAGACACACACCGAGCGCCATCCCATGTTAGGAACCCGTTATTTTTGACAGCTTTCATCAATACCACATGTTCTGACAATGATTGTGATGTCCTCGGTGGCCTGACTTTACAGCTCGCAGGTCACACGGTGTGAAATCAGCTCTCCTGTTTATGACTCGGGGGATCTCATTGGCTCCTCAGAAGACTGACAGCTTTGACAGGTGGAGCTGGAGTTGACTTTGACAAACTACTGATTAGCCTGTCACTCTGAATGGAGGAAAGCCAAGAACTATGTAAAATTCATTCACTCACTCGCTGTGAGCCAGACAGGTAGCTGAATGAAAGCATCACTCCATCGAGCTGGGTAGGCTGACACGGCTAATTATGCCTGAGTAATAAGCAGCGGCCATGTTGACGTATCTCTAAGTTTCAGCACACGGGCTCACTCTCCTTAATGGGACCAGTTTACCCATCAAAGCTCTTGGAAATTACTTTAGTCCGGTGTTAACAGGCACATTTTCCTGAAAAGAACCTTGTTTTTTATGTTTGCTGGTTTTAGCTGCATTGATTTCAGTCTAGATCCTTTTATCAGAGGCATTTCATCAATGCAGATAATCTCCAGCTCTTTCTTTGAGTTTTCTTTCAATCACCAAGCATTAGATCGGAACCAAACAAGTTATTTAATCATTTGAATTCATATATATTTTAAGATGTTTAAAACAATATAACATGGGTGATACAACAAAAAACTAATAATTTAATGGTGCATTTACACATAACTTTGTCTTTTTCCTATAAGAGCTTTATTAAAAAAAGTTTATGGGATTAAAAATCATAAAAATATTCCCCTGGAAATGATCAGGCATTGGACTGAAAAAGAGTGAAAAAAAGATAATTTAAACAAACATCACAAAAGTACATTGTTTTGCTTAAGACCACATTAAAGAATTAGGAGAAAGTCTGAAAAATTGAAAAAGTAAGAGTTTTTTTTAAAGGAAAAAAGATAAAAAAAAAACGTTAAAAAAATCCCCAAAAGGTTTTGTTCAAAACCGCCTTAAATGGCAACAAAGGTACAAAAGAGTCAGGCTGAATGGAAACTGAATGGAGGACGTCTTAGGACCGTCGCACAGTATTGATTAAATACATGATTTTAGTTTCACTCACCGATTGAAAAAGAAACCCAATTAGCCTGTATGCTTTGTTGATTCGACGAAGGAAAAGAGAACCTCACATATACACAAATACATGCAGTTTTACACAAGTCATTATTTAATTTATAAGACTAAATGATCCAATTGTAGGAATAACCTGAACTGCAATGCCTCTTTAGCCTCAAACATTAGCAGACCAGACTGCTGTTGATGCCTCCTAATTATCCTGATTGAGTGATAAACAATATAATCCACACACACACACACACACACACACACACACACACACACACACACACACACACACACACACACACACACACACACACACACACACACACACACACACACACACACACACACACACACACACACACACACACACACACAGAGTCATACTCTAGTAACCCTGCTTCACACATCCAGGATCCAACTCACCCACTTATTGACCAGCGTGACACGTTGCATGGTTGGGGGGCAATCTGGGGAGAGGGGAAGGTGAGGAGATAAAGTGTACCACTGAATAATTCAGAACAAAACACAGAGCAAATCGATCAAGAGGCAAAAATCTGATATTAATAGCCAGTCCCATCCTAATGGCGGGTGGGATATGTGTGTTTGAGTTTACGAGTGTGTGTCGCGCAGATTAAGTGACTCTGAACTCACTCTGCTTTGGTTTTACGAGTTTTTAAAACAGCCATCTGCGCAGAAGTGGAATGTTCTCTGTGTTAGTTAGACACTTAAGAGTTGCTAAGTAATTAGCACTACATTGGATTTTATAATTGCCAATCATGTGCCTTTATTGGTCAATTACCAGCTCTAATCAAGTGACTCAGCCAAATGTAGCAGTCTTATTATTACTCAATTAAAAGGAAAGCTCGCTGTGGTAGGGCCTTTGAGAGGGAGAGAGAGAAACCGGGTGTGAGCGAGGCGCTCCCACTATATCATCAGGTAATTAATATTTTCATTAACTCGCTCTCCGTTGAGCTGCGACCTGCCTCTGATCATTTCATTTCCCCTCCATGGGTTCGATACCATAGTGGCTCCATAATTAGTTTGATTTACATCTGCCTCCTGTAATGAAGGAGCGAGCTCGCTCCCACTTCCTCCCTTCGCCCTGCGCCGTTGCTCTCTGCTCACACCCCTTTAACATCCAATAAATCTGCCGGGTTGGACATGGAAGCAATAGGCCTCGGTGTATTGAGACAGCTCATGAACAAGAAACAGAGAAATGGTTTATGAAAAATTCACACCAGGATCTTTGAGGGATTGAGGACGGGCTGGTGAGTGCCGTGGTAGGGAAACATTTCTTATTAAAGATTGAAGCGCACATACATGATTCTTTTCTCTCTTTTAAAATCTTTGTAGAAAACCTTTGGGATTAAGGGAAACGTCGTCACAGATTAAACTGGAAAGTGTCAAAAGCCACCGGGGGATCAGATCTGAGTTAATTGTTTTGGGGTTATTTAGATATGCTGCATTTCACAGATTCAAACAAATATAGACATCAGGTCAGTGAATGCAGCTATTTTTAAACTAGGACAATGCAATCCAGCGTATCAGCTCCATGACTTTACAGTCAGCGGGGAACCACTGGAGAGCACGAGTGATTTCAGCATTAATAATGCTCCATTGATTATTGTTCTGTTTTAAAGGTGAAAGGCAAAGCTTTCTGAGCAGCAGGGGAGGGAGAAGCCTGTGTGTCTCAGGGAAGGCCTGATTTACATTTTGAAAAGTGCACCTGATTCTCGGGGGGGGGGGGGGGGGGGGGGGGGGGTCGCTTGTCATTTCCTGTCAATACTCTCTCTTAACTTTCTTTGTTGTGGAGGACTCATCGGTCCTATACACACATGCTTTACCATTGCTTGAGACACTTTGGTGATGCTTATGTGCTGAAAAATTAAACTACACGGCTGGTGATATTCTGTTTAGCTAAAATGAAAAATAAATGTGTTGTGGAGTGCCCCAAGGTAGTTGTTTAGGACCGTTGTTGTTTTCTATTTTTATGAATGACTTGCCTATGGTGTTGGATCATGCCACGATGGCAATTTATGCAGATGAAATTACATTATACGCACCAGCGAAAACAGTGTTACAACTTAGTACTGTTCTAAATAACGAACTAGAATCTGTTAATAGATGGATCACCGCAAACAATTTGATAATAAACACAAATAAGACTAAATGTATGGTCATAGGATCTAGACACTTTTTAAAAATGAATCCACTCTAAAGCTTGACCTTAGATGGTACTATTATTGAACAGATTGATGAGTTTAAGCTATTGGTTGTTACTGTTGATAATAAGCTATTCTGGGTGAATCAGATTAACTACCTGTTGAAAAAAATGGGAAGATGTATGGCTATTATCAGACGTTGCAGGAAATTCATTCCATTTCACTTAATTAAGAAACTAGTTCAGTCACTGGTGCTTTCACACTTAGATTATGCCTCTGTGGTTAGGTCCAACACCAATGAAAATTGTCTAGACAAGTTACAAATTGCACAAAACAAGGCAGAGCGCATGGTATTGGGGAGTCCGTACAGAACCAGTGTAAATCTGTTACACAATAAGTTGTCCTGGCAAAAATAAGAGAAAGATTGGAGTTTTCATTAACAATGTTTATTAGAAATATCCTTATGACAAAAAC